GTTTTTATATTCCCTAGAGGAAGAACGTCGTACAACGTGTATTTTCTCGGAGAAAGGGATAGACTTTTAGATGATGAACGCTTGGCCGAGTCAATGATACTTCTTCAGCGAAGGTTTATCCATGGGAAAGGTTTCGATACTTTTTCCTATAGGACAAAAGATCTATGTTTTTTCTACCATCTCGCTGTCCGATTTTGATCATGATAAAGAGAGTCCTTCACGAGTTTGATCTTTGATTCGACATCCTAAAGTATTTTATTTTTTATCTGTTTTATACAAAGTGTATGGTTTCTTTAAGGTTACAACTTTAAACAATCCAATTAAAATGTACCTCTATATTTTATCATGACATAGAATTTTGGTGTAAAAAATTCTTAATATTATCTAAAATCTATTTTTATATCTAATTATAAAATTTTAAACTCCAACAACCGGTCAAAATCAAGAAGATCTATAAACCTATGAAAATCTTGAAAATAAACGGTCTATATAATGTGTTGCAAGGTGCATTATTTCTAGGACTCAAAATCTTTTTTTTCCTCATATTTATACATCTCTACGTCAAGATGATCGATTAGAAAGTTTTTCAACATTAAAACAATTGTTTCCGATGGATTTTTGTGGTGCATTTGTAATTCTACATTTTAAGGTTGCAACCTTATATAAACTTTTTCCTTAGACAATTTGTATGAATATGAAATATGTGTCATATTCTCATTGGGGTGCACCTAAAAAAAATATTTAAAATAATTTTTCGATAAAATATAATGACTAAAATACCTCTTGAAACTTTCAGGGATATTTTGGTTATTTTATTGGAAATATTGTTTTTATATTTTTTGCTAGTGCAAGTTTAATAGAGGATTGGGCGTCTAAAATTTAGTGTCAAAATAGTTTATAGAAAAAAAACTAAAAAAAAAATAGTGTAAAGATGGGACATTGTGATTGGGACAATCTTAGCCCTCCATTCAAAATGGACGGATGGATAAGAGGAAGTATATAAGTTTTATGTTATAGAGGAAGCATAGAAGCTTGCCCCCATAACATTGGGCAGCTCTAATAGGATCATAATGGAATCCGACCCAAACTACTAGGCAGATGGGATCAGAGCGTATTAGGGTTGTAAACGTGTTTGGTTAAAAAGTATCAAACCCAACTTGCACCTCACCCGGCAGTGTCCATGCCCTACCGGATCTAGTTAGGTCCATACCCTACCAGACCTGGTTGTATGCAAGTCCACCATGTCCGGGTTGTGTCCCGGTGGTGTATTGAGACAGTCAGCTCAACTCTGGGTCAGGGGGTCCGCAGGTCGGTTTGGCCCGCCCAATTGGTTTGAGGCACTTCAATTGAAAGGAGAAAAACAAAGACCTTGTCTAAGGAAAGGAAACTTTTAGTAGTGATTGAGAGCTCCACTAGATTCAAATGTTATGGGAACATCAATAATTATTGAAGTCCGTTTCCTTTGTTAAATGATTTCGGATCATACTATATGCATCTTTCACAAAGCCCCCCTATTTCCACCAAAAACAAGAACATTAGGGTTGTTGGAGGCATGTGCCAGGACAGAAAAACAAAAATACATAAAAGAGTGAACAAATAAGAACATTCACCAAAAAAAAAAAAAACAAAGGAGTGGACAAATAAAGCACTTTGCATTGTCAAAACATTAGCCAGCACAATAAGCAAATTCTGTGCCACAATGGATACAGGAATTGATAGAAAGCGAAACTTTGGTAGAATAAATATTTTTCCTTTCAAGTGCACAAAACTATGTTACTATTCACCTTGTCCATGTCAATTACAAGATAATTGCTCTATGCAGACTACCAGAATTAGTACTTTGGAGCAATGGATAGAAACATGGATTCAGGAAAACTCACCAAGCGAACTCAACTCATCCATTAGCAAGTTTCACAAATGAAAATCTGGAGATGAAATATATTTGTCGATATAAATTGACCATCTACGCAATGAAGGATTTTCACATGTATTTGTCGATATAAATTGACCATCTACGTAATGAAGGATTTTCACATGTATTTGTCGATATAAATTGACCATCTACGTAATGAAGGATTTTCACATGTAATCCATAGTATCTGGGCCGACAGCACCACATGAAGATCTATATGTACAGATAGATACAGGGCTCTCAGGACAATGGCCTGAGAAGACCATGGTTTCTCAAATGCTATCCCTTCGGCCTAAAATCTAGTATTAGCAACTCAATCACAACATATATTTAAGGTAGAGATGACATTTGAACTCTCAGGAAACAAAAGAATCTTTTTTTTTTCTTTTTTTGAGAAATGAAAAGATTCAAGTTTTTCCCCTGGCAAACTCGAATCACTGAACTTCTCGGGTAGGCCCGAAGGCTACCCTTAAAACCTCCTCGACTCCCCTTAGAAGGAGTCCTTCCGCTAGTAGACGCCCCTAATTCAGGGCACACTCAAGCCACCGGCAAACCCAGTTTTTAAAAATTAGTAACCCAATCTAAAATTGGGTAATCCAGATCGGGTATCACCCAGCCCATCCCGGATCATGTAGAAAAACGGGATTCAGACGATTCTCTACCTAGAATCGCCCTGACGACATCATGAGTCACCAAGTGATGTCATGGATCGCCGGATGAGTCACCAAGTGATGTCATGGATTGAATCTAACTCTTAGATATGCCAGTGTGCATAAAGCCCACTTACAAGTGACATTGTAACATCAATACTTAATATTTTGGGTTGGTTCGATTTTTTTATAGGACCTTTTTCTCCGATGTGGGACAATTTTCTAATACACTTTTGCATTCTAATGAGCTTCATATCTAATAGAAAACAAATAAGCTTCATATCTAATAGAAAACAAATTGGAGTGCGAGATGATTTATGTGGGTGTACGCCTGTCATGAATAAGAAGCGTGTATGCTCGATGGTGGCAATTAAATTATACAATAAAACAAGGAAAAATTTATTAAAAATAATAATAGAGTGCCCACCACCCCTATCTTTCACCAAAAAAATTTAAATTTACTTACCCAAAAAAACATTAAAACTCCATTAGGCTATTATCTCATAGGATTATTTCATTATATAATTAATAATTAATTAATTAGTTAATTGTGATTAAAAAATTTGCATTAGCTCATAAGATATTAAAAAAACCAAAAAACTAGTTTATTGAATATTAAAAAAATATTAATTTAGATAATATTTTAAGAGAGAAAAATAACACTAATTCATACCACGTTGTAAATATGAATTTCTTTATCAATCATCCCACATTGCAAATATGGATTTCTTTAATTTATTAATAACCAAATCTTGTATTTTATTTATTAATTTATTTGTATTATAAATTTTGTAATATATTAGTTTTTCTTATAATTGTAAACAAGATTTTTTTAAATTAGATGATATTATAAGACATTTTATATTTTTATTTGTATAGTAAAATAATTATAAAATATAAAGTTATAGACCAACAACTTCAATTTCAATATATATTATTATAGTTAGTTAGGTTGTAATAATTTTGGATGAGTAAAACAAATTAATAAATGTTTGATACTTTGATGTGATACTAATTTATGCGGAAAATTAATTTTTTTAATCTTATAATGTGAAAGTGTTTTTTAATATTTTTAAATTGTTTTGATATAATATTATAATACTATATTACAATTAATAATTATACAGACATCCAGACAGTAAAACAACATATCAATATGCACCTATTTTTCAAAATAATGCAAGTACATAATCACTCCTAATGTCTTTTCGAAACTAAAAGAGCACTATTTTTAGAGATTTATAGTGATTTTTTGAAAAAAAAAATTTAAGAAAGACGATAAAGAAACTTATTAAAAAATAATAATTGGTTGATAGGACCCACCACCCCTATCCTTCACAAAAAAAACTTAAATTTACTTATCCAAAAAATAAAAAAGACTAATACTATTAGCTAATTGAGATTAAAAAAAATTAGTACGATCTCATAGGATATTAAAAAAATAAAAAATAATACTAGTACTGGTTTATTGAACATTTAAAAAAATAATAGTTTAAGAGATATTTTAAGAGAGAAAAATAACACTAACTCATACTACTATAGATTTATTTCCAGTTGCTTTATCAATTATCCCACTTTGTAATTATGAATTTATTTATTTATTTTTTTAATTTTATTAAAATATGATTGCAAATTTATGTTACTAAGTTCTATATTTCTATCAACATTAATTATTATAATTAAATTTATTTATTTGTGGGGGTCATACCCTTGTTTTTTGAATCATGTTTATTATAATATTATAATTAATAAGTATACTTATTACAATGATAATCAAATCTTATATTTTATTTATTAATTTATTTACATTATAAATTATGCAATGTATTATTTTTTGTTATAGTTGTAAATTAAATTTTTAAATTAGATGATATTATAAGACAAATTTCAAATTTATTTTTATTTGTATAATAAAATAATGATAAAATAATAAAATACAAACCAATAATTATAATTTCAATGAATAATATTGTATTTAGTTAGGTTTTAATAAATATTTGATGAAAATCTTCATACAGTGAAAGAACATCTCAATATTATATATTGATGCAAAAAATAAAAATTATTAATGTAATACCCTCATTTCTTATTGGATTCTTAAAAAACGACATCTATAATGACTTGTAATCAATTTTTTGAATTTTTTTAAAGGCCGAATCCAACCGATTTGGGTGATTCCCGATCCGAAACGCCGATTCACCTTTCAGGATAGGTTTTTAGATGCCCGATCCAAGGCACCAATCCATTTTTGACACCTCGCTTAAACCTAACTACATACCTCTCAAAACTTCCACACTAATGCATAAATGGACAATTGCAGTTTCCTTACAATACCAAGCTGTTTCATCATACCCAGTAAAGTTCCAAGGCATGATGCCGAACACCTTGGCGAAATTTAATGTTAGAACCAATATTTTAAAAAATATCAAAGGTCGACATGAACAGATAACCCAAAGACCAATTACATATTTTAAAAAATTCTTCATATTTTAGTACATAATAGCAGATGACATGAAAATCCTAGAGCTGCACCAGTAGCAATGATGGTGAAATTGCTATACATCCCTGAATAAAGCAGCACATATTCAATGCGGTCTTGGATATGGTACATCCAAGGATTTGAACTACTGATCCAACCTTTGAAGACCATCATGCTTGAGTCTTTCATTCAGATCTCAAGGGCTCCCCACTCTGAGTGTCAAATGTTCCTCTCTGTAAAGGCCTCCCATTTGCGATGGTCTAGTTTGCTCAAGTCCTCCAACTCAGCTATGGCTAGTAAATAATGTGTAAGCTTCACTAGTTCTCGATCCGTACCACGGTTAATGTGGGCCTTTCTAAATGGCCTTATAACTAGACCATTCTGTGGATTCATCACAAAGTTCCTCTTAAGGTCATCAAACATGATGGTATTTTTGGAATTGTAATACTGCCACAAAGAAGACAAACCATATTACTTGAATTATTGCAAGTAGTGTTGGGGTTAAATGCTTATTCTCTTACTCAGTCATTCCAAGTGGTTAAGATATTATTATTTTACCCTTTATGGTAAGTTCATATTCCATGCTTACCAATCAATTAAAAAAATACTATGAAACTCGAATATATCAAGTGTGTTTTACTATTGTACCTCAGGAAAATGAGCCCAGATTAGACCAAGGGGTTTGCAGTCAAAGATGCCACGAGAATCCGACTGTACAGTAATCATAGCCAAGTGATCAAGAAGAGCTGTGATTTTGTAATTCGGATTGTTGAGAACCCCAAGCTGTCCCATCTTCAGTTCGACCCACTTCATACTGAAAACCAAAATCTAGGGAGAATTAACTCTTGGGTTTCTGAGGTTTTTCAGTAGACAATCCATGTCACCTAATTATAATTATACTAAAAAATGCAATAAATATAAGAAACCAGAAGCAATTCCAAAACTAGTCTAGACATGTACTCTAATCTAATGGGGTAGGTCACTTCAAATGGTATCCAACGTACATTCCCACTGAGAGATTAACAGTAGTACTGTTGATTTCCAACAATTAGTCAATGGGAACAAAAGGTGGATCCCTCGTTCAGTATTCAAAGAAAGGGTAGATCAGCTCGTTTAATAATTCTGGGACAAACTAAAAGGGTCCAAAGCCTTAACCTCCCTCACCCAAACTGGGATCTCTACCACTAAGCCAAAGCCTAGGGGCACCTCCCTGAAACTATACTCCATTGGATTACATAAAATTTCCTAAAGCACTAGCCTATTGCTCAGGTCCTGTTTAAAGAAATCGGGACCAGAGAAACACCTGGTTGCAGACCATATGATTATATCATACTCAGCATAAGCAGCAGATAAGAACTCATGAAGATCTGCACAAAGTGAAAAGGAAACCGGCATGATTAAATGTTGCATGAATGGAGAAAGGAACAAACGAAAACAGGTATTAGATTTCTCTGAAACCAGTGATTAAGTGTTGCATTATGGAGAAAGGAACGTAAGAAAACAGGCATTAGTTTACTCACATGGCCGCATAAGCTCTATGGGGTTCTCAGCTGTTGAACGGTGATCAAAGAGGGTATAGTCAATGTCCAAAACAAGCAGTTTCTTTCCACTCCGACATGGATTAAGGAGTTCGACCTGTTTTATGAGCATAACCATCAGGCTCAACAACAAAGAAATACTCTTTCTACAGTAAAGCTACAAAGCTCACAAATAGTAGCCCAAAAAAAAAAAAAGTCTAGCAGGCTTAACTTGGATAAATTTCATTGTCATAAGTACATGATTAAGTTGCACACCTTACAGATGTAAATGCCATAAATCCGGCGACAGAACTTCTAGTGTTACTTCCAATGTTTTTATGGTTCAGTTTATCCTTCAAGGTGTAAAATTGCACCAGATTTAATGATTTTTAGCCACTACCAAAGAAAGTCTTTGATGAGCTTCCAACTTATCAAAGATGACACAGTAACCTGTCACACATCCTTCTTCTGTATATATTAAATTTACCTGAAGATAAGGAACACACCATACATCATTTGTTTACTAGTTTAGCTCCAAGTTTACCTTCAATTCATACATTTCCCACCCCCACGACATGTGACATATTTTTGTTAACCATGTCAACCATCATGAAGTTTATCGATATGTATGTTACAAACAATTTTTTAATAGGGTCTTACAATAAGGGGCTTCTGAGTCATTGATCCACCCATTGTAGTAATAGATGTCAATAATAAGATAATTACCTTCACTAGCTACAACCTTATCAATATCACTGACTATATTAGCAGTATCAATTTCCATACCTTCATCAGTTTTTCATCCTTTCGAGTCTCACATGCACTTTCCATTTCTCTGTGTCTCACCATGCCAGGTAGTGATCATCTTTTATGAATTCAACTTTCTCATAACCATGACGATTCAGGATCGCTAACAGTAAATGCTTTTCTCTTAGCCACCTCCATTCCATACAGGCACAGAACGTCTTCGATATCGATTGTGCAGTGATCTCATGAATCACAAGGTGGAATACTGCACCATCCCTTGCAAAATATTAGCAAGGGCCTTTGTGTCTAACTTATTCCATTCATTATAATGACATGTCCTTTGGTTTCTGGATTTTTCTTTCAATGAACATCTTACAATGCAAAAGACCTTTTATACCAGACTTCCAAATTGTCCAATTGCTCAATTGAGACAAATCATTCTGCTAATAATAGGTTCCATTTCCATCACACAGTTATTAAAACAAGCCAATGTCCCTCTTATAAAACTTGTTCGGAAGAAAGCCTTCCGTATGAATGAAAACTAACCATAAAACTAGAGAATAGAGAATAATGAAAACAACCATAAACCATCTAATGAGAGAAAGCAACAAAAATTGCAGAGATTACACAGAAGACCCTTTAAACTAGAGAAAAAATATAGAGCAAATCCAAGAACTGCTTTGCAAATAAAAATTCCCAACCAATGTTGGAACTAGTACTAAGTTCTCTCTAATAACCTTTAGGGGTTGTTTTGATACATGGAAATATATTGTCTGTGAAATATATTACTGGCGTAATACATTACCTAAAAATGGATTGTTACTATTTGGGTAGTATTTAGATGCAACCTGGGGAATACATTGCTATTGTTTGGCTATGTCTGGAAGAAATTTGGGAAATATATTACCGACATTTTGACTGGGAAATGTGGTCTTCGCAGACTACAGCCTCAATGGCACTCCAATGTGATGATCAAAGGGGACTCCAGCAATACCATGGCCTGGGCCTCCGGCTCTTCCCCTTGCCCTTGGAGACTTGCCAATATCTTTGCTGAAATAGCCCATCTCTGTGGCAACACCCATGTTACCTGGAGACATATCCTTTGAGAAGCCAACGGCGAGGCAGATGCCTTAGCCAGGGAGGGAACTAGGTTAAATCGCCTCCCTGGAACCCCAGATTCCCCTTAGCAACCACCCCCACCCCTGACTCCCTGATAAATTGTAGTGTTCTTATTTTCCCGGTGTTCCATTATTGCGATCCCCATCTCGGGGAAAGCCCACCTATGTAATTTTTCTGATGTACTTTTACTCTATTAATATACAGTCAACATTATCAAAAAAAAAAAAGACTAGGAAATACTGCATTAATTTTATCTATAGTGATGTGTTTTTTTTATAGTTTACTTTTTTCCTTTTTAGCAAAAAATACTAACTAAAACTACTTTTTTTTTTCTAATATTTGAAGATACTGTCCACATGGATTAATTTTATCCTTCTCCCTATAATTATTTCATTAATAGGTAAATGGTGTCACTATTTTCCAAAGAAAGAATATAGTCATCATCACAACTATAGCATTCAAATCTCAATTCTATTTTCTTTTCCTTTTAATGCCTTTGATCACCAGACGAATCAACCATTGATGGCCTAAATTACAAGAGTGAAGAAAGACAATTTTAATTGCACCTGTTATTCTCTATTTTCATGTACAAATTTGGACATAGCATATCGGCATTTTTATCCAACTAATGGCATGGCAATTTGTATACCATTTTATACTTAATATATTCAGACAAATTCTCCAAAAAAAAAAATAATGATGGATGTTTTAGCCCACCTTTGCTCGTTCTCTGATCTAGAGAGAGAGAGAAAGTCTTTTGATGGCCAAATGACGTTCGATTGAGAGTGCGTTTTTTTTATGGCAACACGCTGTTAGAGAGACTATAGAACATTTATGTAATGGGCACGTGAGAAATATAGTATGAGAAGTCTTAGATACATGATAGAGAGACCGAGTCATTTGATGGCAACATGTGAGAGAGAGAGAGTCTTTCGATGGCCACGTGAAATGCACATTAACTAGAGTCTTTTGAGTGAGAGAGACAAAGGCGGAATCGAAATTCATTAGACGCGTTTCATGTTTTCTAGCGGGTCCGTGATTTCACATTACCCGACAACCCCCGTAATATATTTTTTACCTATTGGGGTGGGTAATAGATTTCACGATTTTTTAGGAAATTTTGGGTAGTGTTTTTTTCGTGCTCACCATGTGAGCACCCAAACACTGGAAATGGTGTATTTCCTCGCAATCTATTTCCCCTTAATAAATATACATGTATCCAAACAGGTCCCTTAGACTTCCCTAAATCCTAAAGAAACATTTATCACGAAAGGGATCTCTCTCTTGTAATCCACAATTCAAGATTTAAGAAAAGACAAGGTACAAAAGCAATCCATGGCTTTCTCTTTTATCTCATAACCCATAAGGAAATACTAATGCAAAAACCAAAACTCCTAAAACCGAAGACCAAAAATATCAATCATCCAAAAGCACTACTAAGGAATCATGAGTAATCAACTAATCCCTAGTTGCTTCCCTTTCTCTCTTTGTTAATCCGAAATTTTCCTGAACATGGAAGTAGAAGTAGGAATCCTGTTATAAGAATATTCCTATACTGACAAGGTTAACTACATTAAATAATGCATGTGATTCAAAACCTAACCCTTTTAGGCAACATTCCAACAAGAATTAGCATATCAAACTTCTAAAGGAAAAGTTATTTAGATGGAAGTTCCCAAAAATATCTCCCTCCAGATACACTAGAAAACAAATTACTTAATGCTCAAGTAGTAACCTATGTTGCACGGACTCTTATGTACAGCCCCGTAATCGGACACGTACATACACGTTCTTCTTGTCTATTAACCATTGTTTACTTTGACTTCATTGTTTTTATTTTGAGAAGACAAAAAAGCCATTTAATATGTATGGATTCATTATCCCACTCATAATGAAATGTATTAAAGAAAACATTTTTGCATTTGGTCCTCTTTTCACAATATTGCCACATCACCAACTCCGCTTTCATGGCATGAGGAATCTGAGCCTGTACCCGCATCAGACGCTGACACTCATACCAATGTCATTGTAAGATAGGTATTAACCATCTACGCCGAGTGATCATAGAGCTTGTATTTGTTCTTTAGTAGAGGCATTATCGTTATATTTACTGATATCATCATGGACCTTCTCTAGATACAACAATAGATCTTCTAAACTAAAACATCTCAAACCCAATGACATCAAACTTGTACATGGATCAACTTGGAATGGTATATTGGGCTGTTTGATAAGTGAATATTACTCACAATTGACCACATAGTTCTCACATTTTAACCCCAAGTCTTGAACAATGCTCTTAATCCACAACATTTCCCTACCTGTTTTTCGTAACAATGATGAAATTATGTGTATTCCATGGAAAGCGCAACACACCTCCACAACTTGGATAGCCATTACATTGATCTTGTTACTTCGCAAAAGTAAAGAAAAGGACATTTCTCTTCTTGCAAAAGTAAATATGTAAATCAAATAGGATTTCATGGAGTGCATATCTTCACTTATAGCTACATCTTTCATATTGTGAAGTTGGGAATATCCTTACTTTTAGGGAATATCACTCTTGTTGAGACCAGTTGGATTCATTATCACCCACCTTCTTTGACGTATTTAGCCTTATTAGAGTAATATTCCTCTCTTATCAAGATTCCCCATAAATAGAAAATGAATATCTTCTCTAATAATTTTGAGAAAGTTCAGGATTGTGAAGGAGAGAAAGAGATGCAATGGGGAATATGAATCCTTACGGTTTTTACAGCTTTGAACTTTGGGCAGTAAAAACAAAACATTATGCCGCAAAGCAATCTGGGCAGTCCAGGCAGCTAGACGAACTGCAGGGACCTAGGCGGGCACCATAGATGGGCATGTACCTGGGCACCCACCTAGGTGAGCATCTACGCAGGATGTTGTGGGGGATATATTCAAATTACATTTTAAATTTAGAAAGCTAGGAGGGACGTGAACCATGTACTCTATGATGCCACAGTTATCCAATAGGTGGCAGGCAAACGGTTGTTTGAACAAGGGATTTTAGGGAAAGGGTTCCTGTGGGTAACTCAACTCAGGAAAGGACACGAGAGATAATGATACAGTGGATCCAAAAACAATTTGACATCAATAAAGGAGATCACAGAGAGTGGTACAGTGTGTCCAAAAATAAATGGAATCAGCTAAGGACATGAGTGGGATAGTGGTCCCGTGGGTCCAATGCTAAATGAAACACAAATATGAAACTCAAGAGAAATGAGAGGG